TATAGTTGCCGCCTATCTGGCTAGCGAGTTAGGAGAAGAAGACAAACAGATATTTATGTAGATCCCTGAAGAAGTACTACTCAGGGAAGGGCTAAATAGAGACTAATAGACATGCAGAATCATTAAGAGCCTGTACAGACTTAAGCAATCTGCAAGGAAGTAGAGAGAGAAGCTTATAGGCGTCTTGAGAGCTAATAGATACAGCACGCTGAACAGAGATCCAAGCATACTGATATCCAGTGATCGAAGAACGATTATCAGTATATACATGGATGACCTGCTACTGGCGGCAGAGGATCCAGAAGCCATCCGCTAAATCAAAGCCCTTCTCCAGCAGAACTTCGATACAAAGGACCTGGGAGAAGCGAGGATGATTATAGGGATGAGGATCAGAAGAGACAGAGTTCGCTGACGGCTGTGGGTCGACCAGACTGTCTATCTGAGAGAGATTCTTGCCACAGAGGGCATGACAGACTGTAATGCTGTGGCTATACTGATAAAGCCTGGCACGTTTATAGCCTTAGACGAAGAAGAAGATATAGAAGAGACTAACATTCAGGCGTATTAGACGTTAATTAGAAAGTTGCTATATCTAGCGTGTGGCACAAGGCCAGATATCAGTTTCTATATTAGCTGTTTGAGCTAGTAATACGCAGATCCACGCATAGGGCACCTTAAGGCTGCAAGAAAAGTCTTATAATACAGCTACGCGCAAAAGTATCCGGCCAAAATAAATTTTGACATCACACCCTACCAAAAAGTTGACTTTTTAAAAAATTCATAGCAACTTCAGCTAGGCATTAACTATTAAATTTAGGCATTAACTATTAAATTTTAAATTTAATGTTAATTTAACTTTAATATATTAATCTTTCATTAATAGAAAGTTTAGTCCTAAAACTTATAGATCTTTAGCAAACCAACTAAGAAGTAGAGCACTCCAAAATTTTGTAAACTTTTGTATAAGACTCTATACAAATTTTTTTTCTTTTTTAGAAATTTGGACTTTAATCTTGTTCTATTTAATATCTAGACATTTTATAAGAAAACTTTATATTTATAAATGAATATGTTATTAATTTAAAGCTAACATTAATTTTAAAATTTAATAGTTGACGTTTAGCTAAAGTTGCTATAACTATTTTAAAAAGGCGACTTTTTGGTATGGTCCCACACAAATATGAGGTGTTACTGGATACTTTTGCACTAGTACTGTACCTCAAAGGGACAGCAGAGATAGGCCTTGAGTTCAGAGTTAACTACATTATACAGAGTACTTCTTAGAGGGAGCTATAGCTGAGATACGTAGATGCTAGCTTCGCAGGAGATCTAGATAACAGAAAGTTAACAACAGGTCAATTTTAAAAAGGCGACTTTTTGGTGTGGTCTCACACAAATATAAGGTGTTACCAGATACTTTTGTACTAGTACTGTAGTCTTAAATTATTATATAGTAGCTTAACATTAATAGTACCTCTTCTCTAAATAAAGAGAGTCTTACTACTTACCTTAACCTTACGCTTTCCTAATTTGTTAACTATAAGGTCTAATTCAAATACATTAATCTAGATAAAGAGAGAATACTAGTGTAGAATTTTTATTAATATTAGCTAAAGGGCCTATTATCTTAATAACAGTACAGGCCTAATAATTACTATTACTTTTATTAAAAGCTGCTTATTTAATAGATTAAGTCACATTATTATCCTTAGGCTTACTATTATTTAGGTAAGCCTGTATTAATTTTAAAAAGCGCACAGACTTAGATGCTTTATAACTGCTCCCTAGTAAGAGAGATTACTGTAAGGATTAATTTTAGTGAGACTAAGACCTATTTAATGCAGATCTTAATATAGACTTCCTTTTGTACTCCTTAAGAAGGCAAAGAATAAGCTCTTAGTTAAGGCAATCTGAAGAAGCATGTCTAACCTTATTATATTAATAACAGACGAGCTCCTTTCTGCTATTAGCTGATAAAGAAGAAGATAATAAATAATTTAATAAGCAATAATAAGGGCGGCAGCTACACTCAGGGCTTTTAGTGACCCATCAATAAGGAGAGCAGCTGCTGGATTTCAGAGAGGGACGCCTGTCAGCCCTAGAGTAATAGGCTTTTTCTTGTCTTCTGCTTAGTACAGAATTAAGCGCCTTCTCTATCTCCTTTAGCTGTGTAAGTCCTTCTTTGATTTCGACCTCTTAGGCCCGCAAAATACGACCTAAGGTCACGAGCTCTCTTAGCAGCACAGATACTAGACAGTTAAAGATGTACCTAGGCGTTATTATAACGCCTAGAGTTACATTATATTCTCTGACTTTTTGAGCCAGATTCTTTAGCTCAGTATAAGCTATATATACACTTTGCTTCTTAATCTTGTATCTATAAAATTTACTAATATAGTCCTAGGTTGTAGACTCTAAAGCCTTCTTATATTTGCGTTTTAGATGTTATATAAGAAGAGCTGCTTCTTAGTATTTATATATTATTTAATAATTATTATCTCTAAGTCTTTAAAAAATTAGTGCAGACATCCATAGATAGCAGAAGCAGTTTTAGCGTTACTTTTAATATTAATAACTATATAAAAAATTTATTAAGAGACAAATCTAATAATTATTTATAGCTGTTTAAATTATAAGTCTTAAAGAATAATACTACTAATATTGTTATCTAAATAGCACTACTGTCACGGCTGCCATGCTTGTCGGCCGCTAGCGCTAGGGCCGCCAGGTATTGATTGGCACTACGCGTTAGTAAGGGGCATGCTCGCTATATAGGAGCGACCCCAGTGCCATCCTCGTCGGCTCTGCAGTCTTAGGCTACCGTATCAACAATATATTTATCGTCGCCTGCTTCCAACGTGACACGTGACAACTACTGTTATTAACTTAGATAAGACTTATAGCTTACTATATTCTATTACAACTAAGCTATATACTTAGAACCTACTGAACTTCTCTATCGCCCTCTCCTTCGCCATTATAAGACAATTCAGACCCTCTCTGCCGTCTACAACTTCCTTAGCCTGATCCAACATCTTTCGTCATGGCCCTGTGCATCTTAGTCCTGCCGCGTGGTAGGTCCTCTCTCTTGTTTTTTTTTATTGGTTTCCTCAATTGACGCACTATGGCATCGCCACACCTTTCATTCCTTTACAGCTGGTCTGTGCTATCGCTGTTATAATAGATATATATTTATAAATAATATATTATATTCTTCTACTTATAGACTTTGTTAAGCAATACAGCTTTAGCTAGTACAGCTGTATAGCTAATAACCTCTTTGCAAGGCAGCATGAACTGCTGTAACTACTAAAAGGATTTGGCTATACATGTACAGCCAAATCCTAAAGCGGCTTAGCGCTACTCTGGCACGTTATGTGCCCTGATTTCCTGTGCCATGGCACAGGAAATCCTATTTAGGTAGTTACTATTTATTTAAAAAAAGTTACATCTAGTACTAGGGTATTGTCCTTTGTCAATTCTTGAGTTTATAGATGAAACCCCAATCTTAGTCCATCAGTAGTTTGACGCCACAATGGCTTGCCAAGTACAGTCCGGCTGCGGGTAAAGTACACCTCCTTATGTTATCTCCACAGCTCATCTATATACTCGGCTGCAGATAAAGAACACCTTTGTGTGATACCTCTAGCATCTCTACTTGACATCTGGGCTACAATCTCTCTTTATGATTCCAACACAAGAATCCATCCTGTCCACAAGATCAATCTCTCGCCCCTGTATGACACATGTTAATGTCTCCGAAAAGGTATCACCATTGTTGCAAAACCACTCCCCAAGTGAGTCAAGGTATCCTTCCACTTGCCACTTCTGAGAATGGTCGTATAGCCACAGGACTGCTTCTGGATCCAACTTCAACAAGTCCTCAATGATGTAGTAATGCGTTACAGGATCTCCCCAGCCCATGAAAACGTTCATATGGTGTCTATCTTGTCTATGAACCACATGTCCATCTCTCGAAGTGTGGAACAAATCTTGAGCTGCGGTAGTAAGAGGCCGCTTGACGGAACTCGTTTGGGGATATTCACCATCTCCATGACCAATCGCGCGGACTGCAGAATCACTGGGGCAAATCCTAGAGCCAATCAAAGCACGCAGGGTAGCTTGAAAATCGTCAATCTCAAAGAGCTCTTTGGTAGACCAATTGTGAAGAAGTTGTACTCTTTGGACCACGAGTTGAGGGATGCGACGCGAGGTGCGAGGATATGCCGGAGTGTGAAAAGCATGCGTATATAGCCAATATCGATAGATGGCGCGTCTCAGGCGGTATCGTTCGTCCCCAGACAAGGAACGACGATCAAAAAAATCAGAGTCCCATTTGCAGAGAGGATATATATCTTCCCATTTCTTCGCGACACGTCCGACCGCGATGATTTGCCGCAACAGAGAATGGGAACGAGGCGGATCTCGGATTGAATGTGCAGGCTGACTGTTGTTGAGTGTGAGGAGCTGAAAAGCATCGTGCAGAGGACCAAACTCGATCTCGGCGACTTTGTACAGTATCAACGTCTTTTGAGATGTGGACAGCATGCTATGGATCCTCCGACAGGACCGGAAGAGATTCACAAGATCGGTGATGGAGCTGCAATTTCGAAGGATTGTGAGTATGATTTCTGGAGCGAGGTCGTGGAAGGGCATTCTGGAACAAGTCAGCAGTTGCGGGTGCGCTCTGGAATAAGTCATACATGACGCTGGACTGCAAACTGAATAAGCGGAAACGTTGGACAGCCTGCTATCGGATGCCACAGTACTAGTATGACCTCAAATGAGGTCAGGCACAATCAAGGCTCAAATTTTCTGCACCCCTTCGCTGGGGCTATTAGTGCTGGTATCGACATGTCTCTCTCTGTACACTCTTCCACAGGCCCAATTCGGCCAAGTATCATCCTTCATCATTGCAGTGTTGCTCAGAGAAAGTACTCGTTGATTGTATGCGGCGGTTGGAGAGCAGGAAAATTTTAGGATGACAATGAAACAAGTTCTTGGCACGCTTGATCAGATAATGACTAGCCATGAATGCGGGTTATTTACAAGTAAGGTTGCTATGATTCTCTGGATGGGCAGCGCCAGAAGACACCCACTGCGAGTATACTGAATTTCACAGTGCTTCAACATTCAACGACATGACACACTTCGAAGAGTTAATGTCGCCGGTAGCTTTCCTTTCTTGCTCCGTGTTATATGTAATAGAAGTTGCCATTCAGTGCAGACGACCAGAAGTAACGTCGAAAGTATGAACAGTCCAAGGCCAGCAGTGAAGGTAGTGAGAATCGTGGTGGGGTTCGGGCATCTGTTTTAATCCAGTGTAGCCAGGATGTGGCATACATCTCGTCCACCACGTAGTACTCCACTTACCTTTTGTCCAGGAACTCATGTATCATAAAATAGTGCGACGTCCTGGCACGAAGGGACTCGTTAACCCTCGGTGAAGTGGTTAAGGAGCTGGCTCAGCGTGATAGAGTCATTGGTGTGGCATCCTCATGGCGCAGATGCATGATGGCTGGCAAGGCAGAGCCTCTATTCGATGAGCCATCATACCTCAATGCTATGACGCAGTAGGATGAGGGCAGCCAGGGCTCATACATAGCTGGTCGTGGGCGGTGGCAATGGGCATAACGGCTTGCTTTCGACAACTCGATTTTTATTTGAACAATACATGATTGTCCAGAGGGTTCTGCTTCCTTCGTCCTCGGGAATCAAGACCGAGCGCTCCTCGTTTGACCACTCTCTCCTTCTTGTCGTCGGTTCGTCTGATGTGCCTCCCTGCTTTTTTCAATCTGACCTCGCTTCTGACCTGATTCGGACTAACAAACTCCTTATTGTCATAGATAACTGGACCTCCAAAGCTTCCTTCCAGAATGACAATGGGTGTAAGCACGAATCTTGGACCAATTTCTACCAAGGAGACATCCGTGCTAGACCTGTCGCCACCTTCACTCTCCTTGCCTACTTCTCGAATCTCATATACTCGGATCCATATCTTGCCATCCAGACCAAAAACTCCTGTGATGCGATCGACAAACGGTTTCTTGCCCCTGACACCCCTTTGGGGAACGCAGAAGACGCCACGTAATATCTCCCGAACGAGCCCCTTGTGCTCTTGACCTCCACTAAACTCTGCGTCCTCAAAGCTCTTGTCAAAAACTACCACACCACGTCCACCCTTCAGACAGTTGCCACCAAACCCTAGCTCTCCCATTGTATGGACGTTGCTGACACTAAACTTGACCGTAGGACCATTGGGCGCTTTTGCTAGCCAGAGATAAAGGTCCTGGCCGTGCTTGCGAGCTTCAAGGAAGAAAATGTAATTGCATGAGTGGAGTTCGGCCAGAGCGTTGAGCGCAGAGTTGTAGTTGTTTGATGACTTCGTGTCGAGCTTTGTGTCTTTGTAGGTATGGGGAAGAAGTGAATTGAGGTCGGCAAGGAGGTGGCGGTGGCTAAGGATAGAGATCAGCGACGGCCCGCAGCAGGAACGAAGGAGAAGCGTGGTTCTTACCGATGAGACACTCCGCGAGATGTAAGCATCAGGATCCGAGATTTTATGGCGAGTGGTACAGGGGGAGAGTTTATGGTCGGGGATTCGGACGAACGACCAATGGTTGCACTGCTGGCGTCGGAGGTGGTTGATTCCTTGTCAGAATGAGCTGGAAGATCTTCCCTGCTCCCTAACAATTTATATGCTGCCGACATTCTGCAAGCTGCTTAATAAATGCAGGTTCATTTGGCGACTGAAGCCAATGTGTCTGCGGATATGCTCAGTTGTGTATTTGTGCGACTGCCTTTGGTGCAGGGACTTTTTTTCACCGAGGATTAGCCGAGTTGGAGTGCACTGACATCATACGAGCCTTTGCCCTCGATACTCTGACTTCGGAGAGTCTAATTGTGGACATGATCTTCACTTCCCGAGATAACTCTGTACTAATCAACTACCTTACATGTCAATTATGGTTATCTCTATGTATCAACCATGGTTCCTGGAGAAGGAGGTACTGTACTTCTACTGTGTAACGGTACGAGAACTGAATCTCGTACACTTCCATATTGCCTTGTCCAGCATCCCACAAATCTATGGGATTGTATCTGGATGATTGCATCCATGGCCTGACTTTTACCAGAAGCAGCTCCTCATACTGGCAAACCATGCATCTGTTGGTTTTCATGGCTGAAGTAGTCTGTTCTGCAGTTCGCGGCCAGATACTCGATGCGTTTGGACATCTTTGGTATTTCGTTTTGGTGTTGGCCTGGTCTTTTTTAAGTCTACCGTCGAGCAGGGAGCTTCTGTATGATTCAATTCCGCTACTTTGCTACGAGAAATATGTTACCGAGGTACGACCGTGGAGGCTCAATGCCATGGTTGCAACTTGTACAAATAGTCCAGCGCCTCCACGAATTCTCAGCCTGCGGACATGAAGCGGTATAGTAAAGGACTCCGTAGGTCATGTAGCTGATCATGTCAGTTGATTAGCGTCGTCAAGCCGCAGAAATGTACCACTGACATTTGCCACATCCCCCCCTTGGGCTCAATCCTAGCGACAGCAACTACTGTGTGATTTATCTGATCTTCGTGTTTCTAGTACCTGCGTTCCCCAAAACTACATTTTGGCTCAAAACATGGAGGCGGTGAAGGCATGTAAGAAGGGGGATCGCGCTGTGTCAGGAGGCCGTCATGGTAAAGAACTGGGTCCACAAGTGACTCTTCTCATCAATCATCGCCATGAGTATACCATTGTCCAACATTGTACATCGCTCGACGAATCTTGCACCAAGACCCGCCGTGTGAAAGCGTACAGCTCCTTGGTCACAATTTTCCTGCTTCACATCGTTTCGGTTCACGAAGCGATGTTGGTGTAGCTAGAAAATCTGTCGCGACGGAGTAATAGATGTCATGGCAGGTATGCTTACTCGAGGCATCAAATGGCAGGCATAATCGATATCTCAAGGGTCTGGGTTGTCGTAGCTGCAAGGACGATTTCTGAACATTCTGCCTCACAGTAGCTTATCGGTAGTTGACATATAACGACATATCACCACCTCGCTGTGCCGAGTGCCAGTTGGACTTAGAAGAGACTTTTGCCATCTGGCTGGCCGTTTCTTTTGCTGAACTCCATGTATCGCCGTAGCATAAGCCGGACTATCCAGCTTTTCTTGTCTTCGCAAACAACCTGTATGAATGGTTCTTCGGATTGTATTAACCATAATTGATCCGGCAGCGCTCTTGAGATTCAGAACTTACGTTTGTGCTGGCCTAGGGGTCAAACCTCGCCATCATTTCCCCAGACCTAAATGGCATGCTCACTTCCTAGGCAACTCCACTAAAATGTAGCGCTTCCACTTCCTACTTTTCGCCGGTGACGTCTACTTCATGTGTCGACCACCATCCCCTTCTCGCCCATAAGCTCACATCCCTGACGTATAATTCCGACCATTCCACCAGTTTGAATATTCTCAGATCCTCCACCGGATAGTCGAAACTCGATTTCTGCAAGCCCCTCCAGCCATATTATCCTGGTTTGAGGGCTGACTTCCAATGTTTGTAATTCTTCTGCAAGAGACGTCAGAATATCAGCAAGTGCTAGACCTCGATTTGATTTTAGCGTATTTATGGTCGTCACACAAGACATGACGTCCGGCGTGCTCAGTAGAGTGTTCATGATCAATCGAGTGTCGGCTGGATGAGGAGCTGCAATGCAATTGTAGATTGTGGCACCGGTGATCATCTCATACTTGATATCCTCTGCTTCCGGTTTTGGCGCGTTCCTTACAGGAAGTGGTCTGCTTCCAGCATGACAAGCCTGAAGGACATTGAGCGCCCGTCGCATATCGCCCTTGCTCAGCTTCACTAGACTATCGACCGCTTCTGCATCGATGTTGATGTTTTCATTCTCGATCACATGGTTGACCAGTCCTCGAATGTCCGCTTCCTTCAAAGGCGAAAATCTGAACCTGGTGCATCTTGATAGCAACGCAGGCGAGAGCTTATGAGTATAGTTCGCGATGATACAGAAGCGAGTATTGGCTGTATATTTCTCCATTATTCGTCTTAGGGCCATCTGTGCTGCTGAAGTCATAGCGTCTGCTTCGTCGAGAACGATGAGCTTGAATGCTCCTAAGCCGCCAGATGAAGTTGAGGCGCCAACTCCGCCAGTGAATATCTGTTTGGTGGACGCAAAGGTCTTGATCTGTTCTCGGACAACATCGATACCTCTATCGTCCGACGCATTCATTTCTAAGACCATTTGGCGCATATTCTTCGGTCCATATATCTTTCGGGCAAGAGCCAGAATGGTGGACGTCTTGCCGGTGCCAGGTGGTCCATACAGAAGGAGATGGGGTAGTCGCTGAGTGTAAAGTTAGTCGCTGCCTTTGGTAACGAGGAGAGATTTTCGGACGTTATGTTCAACGAATCTATTGATGGTAGCAAGGATGTCTTGGTGGCCAGAAACATCGTCAAGAGTATTTGGACGGTACTTCTCCACCCTGCTTTGGCGTCAACCGTGGTCAGAGACAAGTAAAAACCACGTACCATGGCAGGTTGTCCTCTGCCTCAATTGGCAGATCTGCTACAATTCGCTTTCCTTTGATCGCAGTATTCTCGAAGCTGAATTGGATTGACTCTTTTGGTGCTAGGCCATCAATCTCCATACCATCTTCGAAATCAGACATGTTGAAGTTTGAGATAAGATTGAGATGGTGAGACCGAACAAACAGCTTGAATGGTGTCTTAACACAGAGTACTTGTATTCAGAACGCGCTCTCAGGACGCGTAAAGTGCCAAGAGGACGAAGACTTGGCTGGTTAGTCACCAACTTCTCAACTACATTGGGATGAGATCTCTCTAAAATAATGGAGTACTTCGCGGAGGGCACGGCCTTGACTCGACCAACGACAAGCAAACCGAACATCATCGGGACTGATCTCTTGGCTCAGAAAGCCCGCAATGCCTGTATGTCATGACATGATGAGCTTGAGATGTATTGGGAACCTAACCCACCCCAGGCCTACCATTCAATCTTTCTGGGCGATACCGGAGTTCAGTTAATCGGTATACCTCGAATCTTCTCCCTACCAAGTGCCTACTAATGGTTATGTGTTAGGAAATTTCCCTCTCCTGCCTCTCCGAACGAAAACAAGGGGACCTGCCTACGCCCTGCCTCCGCTTCCACCATCTGTGTCCCCATCAGATGTTGATCCAGACTCGGAATCATACGACATTCTTGACGAAACGCTCTCACTCTTCCGCGCTAACACTTTCTTCCGCAATTTCGAAATCAATGGACCCGCTGATCGATTGCTGATTTATGGTATCCTCTTCCTCTCGGAATGTCTCAACAAGGTGAAATCGAATATGGATCAGCGAAGTGCAGAAAAGGCATTGATCAACGGGGCATTGGAACAGTTCGCAATACCGGGTGACGCCAATTTTCCGTTAAATCAAGCCTTCGAGGCACCGAGTGATAGGCAGCAGGCAGAACAGCTAAGAGGATATTTAAGCCAGGTCAGGCAGGAGTTGGCAATGAGGCTAAATCAGAGGTTGTATGAGGGTGGGGCCGGACCAAGTAAGGTATGTGATGCTTCGCCATCAACACTTTCCATTGTCCCGTCGCTGACGGCAGTCGCTCCACAGTGGTGGCTTAGTTTTAAGAAAAGGGAGTTCATGGGTCGGAAATTATGATGTGGTGAAGTTTGGTGGCCACAAATAAGATGTCCCATGCTGCTGGAACCTGTTTGTTCGTGGAATAAAGTCAACCTGAGGTTCAACCGCCATGATCCCTGCCTGATGGTTGAAAGCCTTTCCCTCCGACATACATGAAAACATGGACTCGGTCAAAAGACAGGCGCACATTCGTTACCATATGACTGTGCTTGGACTTTTCCCTATCATCGATTTCGAAGGAGGTTAGGTTTTCCGAAGTACACTATCTCAGGTCTATTGCCGTACCAGTTGTACTGCGTCAACAGCTACAACGTAGCTACAAGTGCTTACTCCTGACCGCCCGTTCGGCTGATGAGGTCACGACTGGAAGATCCTGGAGAAGGTTTTAGCTGCGTCCTCTTCACTTTACGACTCACAGCTAAGCAGCAACCTTGCTGGAGCTCAAACGACTTACAGAAGATTCAGCTTGAGAATTGGTTTAATCTTGCATCATGTTGCTATACACAGGGCATGACTTGTGTTCCTGGTTTGATGGCCTTTTTTCCCCAGTCCTGACATCCGTCCGTCGAGCTCTCTCTTTGATCCTCTTCGTCTTTTTTCATCGTAGGCAGGCTGTACATTTGAGGTTCACCATCTTTCTCAGCTTGTCGTCTCATTTGCTAATCTCCCTAGCTTTTGAGTTTCATCTATTTGCAAAGGTATCAATTCGCCAATAGGCTCGTCACATTCCTCGTCCCTTAACTATTGCTATTGAACGTACGTTTGCTTCTTGAACAAATGCATTGTGAGATGACCTATGCTTAGGCATGCTCGATCATCAATCCGGGAAAGGCTTGAATTTCTTGGAGTATAATCTCTCAGCTCGACTGCTGCATGAATCAGACAGCTTCAACCGCCAGAATTTACCGAAAGGAGCTTGCTACTGCCTCCAACATATTGTCCCTCTCGCAGTAGCAGCTGGATATACCCCACCTTGCAGCTCCAAAGCTGCCTCTGGCGTCCTGCTGGATGGAACAACGGCGAATTACGGCCTAATTGAACTTCTTTTCTTGAAGCAGTGACATGCGCTGGCTCTTGTGCCGGAGACGAAACCGACGCTGACGATAGACAGCGTACATGAGAAATGCACTAGCGGGAAGAAGAAGAACGAGAACGTTTTCTTTACATTATAAGGTTAATATTGATCCAGATGCTTGGTGGAGTTGACACCTACTCGAGAGCAACTGAACCAAACCCGTTGAGACATCTACAACATCTATGATGAACATGCCGAAGAGTGAGATGAGTGACTGGAAAGCGAAAAGAACGATCTGGGTGACGAAGGTGAAGACTGAAAGATTGCCGAGAATGCATTGGAGATCGCTTGGAAGGATGTCATGGTGCAGGTATTCTTCTCCCTCAAATATCGATGGCAGTCTATGGGAGTGCTTGTCGAGCTCCAGGGTTCGAATTTGATATTTGATCCAACGCACATGAGTAATGGCAATGAGAATGACGCATGCAGCAATCACGGAACCCCTATGTCCATGTCATGCCACATTCCATTGTTTACACTTCAGGCAAGATGCCGCAAGCAGTTCGATATCAAATGACGCCACTACAATCACAATGATGCCGTCACCATAGTCATTGGGCAAGATTGTGTGTAATATGGGTTGCCATGGCTGAATTGATTGTCTTGTAACTCTGAATTAGTTAGAGGGGACATAAGCTATCTGATGTAGTTTATGGTTACGGAGTAGCTTCGAATTAAATACAGTGGCCCGTCATCAATTGGCCCTTCATTCAACAATATCTGCGATCGAAATATGTATGCGAGAGTAGGACTATGACTCTGTCTTTTGAGGCTGAGAACCACCCGCTGCAGGGTCTGATGGACCACGTAGCGGCTGATGTGCTCAACGTGCCAACGCGGTGTAGTGCCGAAGCACCCTGGAGCGCTTGTTTCTGCCTAAATAACTAACGTACAGAACCACTTGGCGGGCCAATTTGCACACACTTTACGCAGTAATTCTATCACTCAAATGGGCCAACATCCACATCCAATTAGGGAAATAATGAAGCTGGCGATACTTCCTATTCGAGTCTATCTGATAGAATTCTGATGCGCAGCGAATTCTCCGAACGGTGCGTAATTTGCACTCTAGAAGGCGCCCTGCCCTCTTTGGCAGCTCTAACCTCCTTAAGGTTCCACGAACGCTGCACCTCTCTTTTAGCATGCGTTTTGAGCGCTTTTTGACCTCTTGCTGATGAGATTGCTTGCATAAATTGTTGAGCTCATTTAAAGCAATTGTGCGCCGGCGTGCTCTTGAATAGCTGCGTGGCTGAGCTTGCGTACAGAGCGTCGAGTTCAAGGAGTAACTTTTGCCTTAATTTGCGCTTGAAGCTCTCGAATTTTATTCAGCTTCTTCGGAATGCTATAGAGATGGTTAGGACCCTCTTGAATAGGCGCAGAGTGATACTCAGGCGTTGTGCGGCCAAAATTTTGAATTTCAGTGTTGAAGTTTTCATTCTGTGGTGTTGTCTATACATCTATTTAGGTTTTCTAGTAACTACCTAATAGGGATTTCCTGTGCCAAGGCACAGGAAATCAGGACACCTGATATGTCAGAGTAGCGCTAAGCCGCTTTGGGAGGTTGGCTGTACATGTACAGCCAACTTCTCTTGGCAGTTGCGGCAGCTTGTGCTGCCCTGCAAGGAGGTTGCTGACCATACGGCCGTACCAGCGTTAAGCTGTATTACTCGACATTCAGGATCATCCAGCAGTTTTTGCTTATTAATTGGCCAAATGCCAGCTCTTCTCCATCCTGTGCGAATATTTCGCTCAGTAAACGCTTCTTGACGAGCTCGTACGTAAAGTACAGTCAAAATACTTTGATTGAGTGCTGCTATATCGTTTGGAGTGTATTCTTCAACTGCGCGGCTGTACGCACTTGAAAGAGGCGAAAATGGACCTATATCGAGAGGTTGAAGTTTGTGGGTAGCGTGCGCAGGTAGATAGAGAGGGTGGATGTTGTTTTCAAGGCAGTATTACTGAAATTCGCCAGTTCTATGACTTTTTTGGCTATCAAGTATTAGGATGATATGCTTGCCTTGTTTTAACGCAATTAGGACGAATATCCGCCGCAGCTAATTAACAGCTAGCTCTTCGTCAGTCTATTCTTTAGGAGAAAAGACCTATATAATGTTAGAGAGCTCCTTATGCTCTAGAAACATATGATGTTTAGGATTCTTGCTAACGAAGATAAGATAAGGCTTAATAGCTCTTTCTGTATTTATACACTTAATAATAGAGACCTATTAAGTGTTATCTGACGCTAGAGCAACTAGGCGACCTATTGCAGGATCAAAAATAATGTATTTTGACACTGTTTGCCCTATCTGAAACCCTGTTTCATTTATATTGTAGATATCTTGTGGCTTAACTGCGTATTGGCTGCGGAGCTGCTCGAATTCAGCGAAAAAGCGTTTAATAACGCTAGAATCAAGGGCCATAAGTCGTTTGATATCCATTGGTTGATTTTGCTGCGTTTTAAGCTCTGGATGGCGAGCTATTAAACGTTCCACGTAGTGCTTGCCTAATTGAATCTTATCCCCCTTGCTATGGAGCAATTTAGTGACTATTCGTTGAATTTGAGCATAATTAGGGCATAGATGCTGCCTCTGTAGGTCTCTGAAGTATTGGATAAGCACTTTTTCTTCCTGTTTCGAAAGGCGATGAGAAATGAGATCAGTTTCAGCTCGAGAGGGTCGTCCAGCGCGTCGATAGGCCACTGTTGATTTCGGCACGCTGTGGTAGCTCGCATCCTTGCGTATAGAGTCAAATAGGCCTATATCAACGTCATTTGAGGCCTGCTGAACAGAATGCTCCTTCTCCGAGTCCATTTAGAGCTATATTGGTGGAGATATAGCTGTTCGAAATATGAGGATGCCTGCGCGTTGGTGTGCAGAAATTGGCCCGCCAATTGGGGTGGCCCGCCAAGTGGTTCTGTACTTTAGTAAATAGCCATACAACTCCCTTGATACCCACTTGTAGACCTACCCATTCTAATCCGAGTCATGCGCACGATTGACCCTTTGATGCAAGTACCTTTGAAATCCTTTTCCTCATCAATGCATCCTACAATTCAACCAAATCAATATGTCGCTCTACGTCTTCCATCTGATCAATTGAAAGTGCAACAGATAGTACAGAACAAGTATGTTTGTTAGCTTCTGTGAGCTTTAATCCTTCATGCGTTTTCGAGCATCACTCATGCTCCGTACAGCATTATATCCCTTGGAAAATATGGCGCCTTTCACGCAGACCAGATTTTGGGAAGGCCATTCCATCTTACGTTCGAAATCATCAACGGAGAAGAACTACGTATCGTCCCCGCTGCGGAGCTACATGCACATGCATTGATCCAGCAAATGGAAACTCCGTCGGCTTCTCCCGGAGATGAAGGAGATATCGAACACCAGCGGGATGGCCTCCTGGACGACAACCACACAAATCAGATCATCATAGATGATCCAACGAGTCAGCGGCTGACAGTGGCGGAGATTGAAGCTCTCAAGTCAGATGGAAGTGGAAACAGCAAAGACGTCTTTGCCAAAGTAATTGGTGCACATTCCACGAGTGAGGAAAGGACGGCCTTTTCATTGGCCAAATATACCCTGAGGAAGAACAGAAAGTACCTGAGAAGATTCTGTGTGCTTCCATTGGACGTGCCTACTCTCACCGATTGGCTGATGAATGAGCGCGATTTCGGAAAGGTCATGGAATTGCGGAACGATGTGCTAGGCCTCATTGGATGTTGGGCAAACATATACCATGCTGACGGCTCGCATTCGGAAATACGACCGTCGGGTCGATACCTACTGGTGGACGACACGGGCGGTCTACTGGTCGCGGCGATGGCTGAAAGGATGGGTATTCTATACGCAGAAGGGGACAATAATGACACTGCGGAAAGCAACCACCCTTACACTGAGGACCAAGGTTCCGAGTCTCCTGACCACTCTCGCAGAGGGGATCGCGATATTCCATCCATGTCTGCTATTTCAAATACGATTACCTTGCTTCATTCCAACTCCCAACCGAACCTGGCTTTGTTGAAATACTTCGACTACGACGTAAATACTCCTTCACCCAAGCATCCTCTCTTCACACACCTCAAAACTCTATCATGGCTACAGCTGCTCTCGCCAAGTGAAGATCCTGCTTACACTGAGCCTGATACCGCCACACCCGAGACACTGGCAACTTGGAAGAGCAGCAAAAGAAGTGCCTACTACCGCAAACGTCGTCGATGGATGCGCATCAAGTCTGTTGTCGACAGCACACGCCAAGGTGGCTTCCATGGACTGATTCTTGCCACACTCACATCTCCAGGCTCTATACTCAACCACGCCGTGCCACTACTAGCCGGTGCTGCGCAAGTTGTTGTCTACTCACCTTACCTCGAGCCACTAGCCGAGCTGGCCGATCTTTACTCCACCGCCAGACGAACGGCGTTCCTCAACACGCCGGAAGAGCAGAGAGTAGTCCCTAGCACGGACTTTCCCGTTGATCCAACGCTGTTACTTGCTCCCTCAGTGCAAACAGCGAGGCTAAGAAGGTGGCAGGTCTTACCAGGAAGGACGCATCCCCTGATGATGGGGAAAGGAGGTGCGGAGGGATATATCTTTGTGGCAACACGAGTATTGCCAGCACAAGAAAAGGTGACCGCTAGGGGTAGGGTTGGAGGGAAGCGACGGAAGGTAGAGAACCTGGCAGATCCACTGGATGTGGTGGGTGCAGCAATAGAGGCGCAAGCGTATAGTGAAGAGACTCGCCCTTCAGTCAACCTGGCTTGATAGACTCAATGGTATATTCTGATGTCTCCACACTGCATGATCTCAACTGCTTAACCCATCTGTCCTTTGCGAGCCTTGGCTTGACCGGCGTACCTCCCAACTCTTGCTTTCTCCGGCAGATCCTCACTCTGGGAGGCTCCGTACCCTTCGAATCCAGCAATGACCATCCGAGTGTTTCTGCTTGGCGGGACTGTTATGATGTTGGGTAGCAACAGACAAGATCACAGAGCCATGAGCAAAACTTGCTCCACCATCATATAAAAGAATTTCATGAGCTGCGGAGGACTGGTTGCATAGTCGTATCATAATAGCGTTCCCATGAAGCAATCTCACAGAGTCATAGCTCTCAGACTGAGTGGCCGAGTCAGCAAGAAACAATGGCTCGACATCATCCCTCCACTGCAGTCAATGAAGTGCGGTAATGCGAGGCTTGTCGATTGGTATTGCCATGCAAGTCGCCCGTCAAGCTCAACGAGATGGCATGAAAAACGAACTACTTATATTTCGTCCGACAATTAGTTTCCAGATTAGTACAGTACCCACTGAAGTGTCAGGTTAGCCTCGCGTTTGACCGAGATCCAAAGATCCTAACTAGGGGAAACAGTGGAATTCATTGTTCCGTTTTGGCGTACCTGTTGGGCCTTCGGGCCAAAACAAGGGGTTGTTGTCCTTGCAATTATGCCCCGTGTCTTTGTTCGATCTACATGACCTCTGAATAAAGTTTGGTTATGAAGCACCAAAACCCTCGAGATGCGTAGCTGGAAACATGCGCCCGAATACCTTTGTTAGACAAGCTTGAAGCATTATATGTCGTAGACTCTGTAGTAAAATGGTACCTGTAGTACGGCAGGCCAGGCAAGGAATCTGGATTCAAGTATATCTCTCCGATGATATCATGATAATAATCTATGGTTCTGGAACTGCAAACATGGATCCGTTCCTCGATTGTCTTCGGTCCTCCTCGAGCCTCCTCGAGCTCTCAACCACAACGGCAAGCCTCTCCTTCTCGAACTGCAAACATGGATCCGTTCATCGATTTCCTTCGGTCCTCCTCGAGCTCTTAACCGCCGCAGCAGGCTTGTCCTCCGCGATCGCAACAAAGATATCCCCTCCTCGACACACTGCCGGGTTCCTTCTTGACAGCAACAACAAGCCAATCCTTCTACATTGTCCTTGAAACCTAGTGGACCTTCTTTTGAAAGTAACCCACACCAAGATTGTGCAGCTGCCGAGGATGTGCTCCGGATCTATACGAAGAGTCCGGCTGGCCGAAGGTGGGAAGGGGATCTCGTTCATATGTCACTAGGTTCTCTTGCGTGGCGGGCTGCCGTTGCTCTTTCTGTATTATGGCAATTGAAGCCGCCCAAGAACTGCAAGGGGGAGGTCGTTTACATGACGGCCACAAATTGGCGGCCAGGTCCCGATGTCAGTTTTCTCGTTGTCCCTGCCGCATTAGATGTTCGAACAGCCAAAAATGCCGAGTCTGCAGCAGAATTCAATGAAGGCATTGCCAGCACGAGTTTCATCACCTCAAAACATTTCACTTCATTGTTAGCATCAGCACGACATCTGATACTTAGCTGTGGCATCTGGAGTAGAATGGGCTATTGCTGCCAAGTCAACATCCCGCATAGATTTTCCGTACCTACAGGCTCCCATTGATGTATAGCACTTGTCATTTACTTATGTTGGCGCCGAGATGTGACTAGGTCCGACGCTCAGTGGTTGCCAACGGTGAGGGAAGTGTCACACAATCGTGGCTGGTATAATTACTGCAACCTGGAATCTGGTGCATCGATAAGTATCTAGGAATCAGAAATGATGAACAGCAATGCTGCACGGATTTGAAGTCGTTTGAACGGCGTACTACGTACGTAGTAGAAGCATGCTCTGGGTTTTTTGCACTCAGCCACCATCTGACGCCATACTGCTAGCCTGTTACTTACAACGTACAACAGTATCGACCTTGACTCAACCTGGCTTTAGTATTTACTCGGAAACTTAGCTTAGATACTGAAATTGCTTGGTATGAGTGTTGGGTTGGAAGAACATTGTTGATGGAGCAAGAAGTACGCACATCACTCAAACGTCATGTGTTATATGCGAATTCTACAAGAGGAGTTTGTGACTGACTCAAACTACCAGTTTGGTGAGATCAGGAACAGGAACTCTGGATCTCAAAGCTGCACCAGTAAATGAACCTGCACAAGCACAATCATTAGCTGAATGGCCAGGAGTTGTCAAACATGAGTGCGTCCACAAATATGAAACTGCAAAAGCGGCGCTCTCGGCATTACAATCAGCTCCATCCAGCACATGAAGATCGCTCTACAACATCGATCATCACATCGACTGGCTCAAGCAGCGCTGACACTACTCCAATGTGATGCATCTCGTGTACAGGCAGCGGTATCAGCACTGATGCTAACAGTACGCAGCTGCAACCCCAGAGGTCCCGGCATCATCAGCCTCTAAACGTAGTGTTTGGCCATCTGGAGCTCCATCATTTCCACAACTTGGGTATCCACCACCACAGATGAGACAAGCAGGGCAGGGTCTACCACGAGTCACCACGAATTTCTTGGTGGTTTGGAAGGTCAACTAACGCGTTCGATTGTCCTCTTGCTGGCCGACATCCAAGGCGAAATCGGCTCTCAAGCTAGGGGCAAGACACTTCAGGATCTAGCAGACGACCTGCTTGTCATGCCTTCCGGAGAAGCTGTCTCATACTGGCGACGCATCGAGTCCAGGTTCAAGCCAGGGTTTCGCTGCGGAAGCTGCTCCCTTGCCCCTCGAGACATTCGGACAGCTTCCGGCCACCCTCGCAAGTGCTACAAAGTAGACCATGCTGAGTAGAGCTGTTACTAATCTTGAGCTGGGTACTCTACCACTCGGGCGTCAGCTTAGGGCAAGAACTCTCCAAAACCCTAGCATCAAAATTTCGAGCAGACTCCTCAGCTTAAACTGCCATCCTAACAGACTCTCATTCTGCAGTATCATAGTCGGGATTTAGTGCCGACCAATGGTTCCGAGTAGTCAGACCAACCAGGCTCTACAAGGCGAGAATGCACGTGGCACCATAAAAAACGCTCCAGGGACCGTCCGTACTTCACCAGTCAGCAACAAAACTGGTGTTACTCAAAAACATCTCCAATTGGAAATGGAAGTGGCCCATCGCTACAAATGGAAGCCACCAAATCTTGATACCTTACCATCCAACTTAAGGAGGGAGCGATATAGTCTATAGGATCAGCTAGCCCGGACTCAAGCTTTGGCCTTCTTTGCCCAGCAAATGCCTACAGAACAGATTAATGACAAGATAGGCGTTTTACTAAGCACGGCTACTCGTTAGAGGAAAAAGGAGTCGCCTCTTTCCCATTCTAAAAGCAAAATTACACGGACTCAGGAGACTCGCCCCCGAGCTCTGGCTTACCTCACTCAGCAAGTGTTTATGCGGAGATCACTGAGAAGACCGGTATACAAACTCCACAATCCATCGATGGAATGGGAAGACCTCGCTGCCTCGACTTGTTCTACACAACAAAGGAATTGAATGACCGTGCTTCCTGTTAGGCCTAGAGATAATTACGGCCTCCAATACAGCAATTTGGAAAAACATGACAAGTGCGTGTGGCAAGACGATTCCTGACTTCAAGAAGCGAGGTTGAACACGTGGTAAAATGATTCCGAAACGCAAAAGACGGACACAGGTAGACGCACCCGGTAATCACGTGGTTGATGGTTGGTAGATCTCCGTGGTATTTCTGTATTGCTCTGAGCGAACGATAATAAGCGGTCATGTCTGACTGATGTTGTGTCGATAACTAACGCCCAACACCACAAAGCGGGCCACCCCACAAAGCGGGCCAATTTCGGGTCACCCACAAAAAACCACCCTCAAATTTCTAACGCTTATTACTCCACCAATTTACGTCCAAATGGCCTCAAACCAAGAGCAATTGATTCAGCAGGCGTTAAATGACCTAGATATAGGTGCTGAGAAGTCAATTCGCAAGGTAGCTGCCAAATACAGGGTTTCAAAAACGACTGTGGCTTACCGACGCAGAGGTCGCAACCCACGTACGCAAGCCAATCGCAGGACTCAACGCCTATCTTTAGAAGAAGAAAAAACTCTAATTCAGTGGATTCGAGATCTACAGCGGCAGAATCTATGCCCAAATTACCCTAGAATTCGCTCTTTTGTGTACGAAATCCTGCGAAATCGAGGCGATTCGCGGCCCCTGGGCAAGAACTATGTATCTCGCTTCATTTCTCGCCATTCAGAGCTTCGAACAAGCAGATCTCGAGCTATGGATATTAAGCGCCTCTCTGCGCTTGATCCTACGGTTATAG